CTATGCTCTGTCTGTGCATGAATCCAGGAGTCTTTGGTTTCTCCATTGCCATACTTATGTGCATTATTTATGTATTTTGTGCATGAAGTATTAAAAAAAACTGGATGGCCGACACGTCATGCAGACATGTTTAATTATAGTTATGTATAAATACATTTTGATGTGTTTGTTATAGATGCTTCTACTGTGGACATGAGTCAATTGAAAGGTTTAATGTCAAAATAAATGTTAAACCAGACTTCACTCCTTGCACACGTCAAATATCTTTTGTTTTTCATTTACACCATCGTTTACTTTTTTCTTTAAATCTTCCAGGATTTTCAAAGTGCAACAGCAATGAAATCTTCACATTTCAAACCGTATTTCTCGGACTTACAATATATTTAGCCTACAAACTTATGAGTTTCCTGACATTTAGTGTTGCAAATCATTTGGGCACTGTGTGATGATTTTTTTAAAGCGCAGAAAGATTTATGATGTGCACAATTTCATCATCCATATTTATTGTTTCATTAATAAAATTGCCTTTCTTGCTCAACTTTCACTTTAGTTTCCTAAAAGAGGCAGCGTTCTGTCCGCTTGTTCACTTTTCCTTTGAGCTGTCATGTCACCAGCTCTCCCAGTTTTTAGCCTTCAGTTTCTTCATCTCTCCAGTTAGTCCAGTGTAATTCATTTTCTGGTTTCCATTCATCATCACTTACACTTTATACTGATGACTACGTCACTGTAGGTGTTTTGTCTCTGGATTTAATTTCTATGCTATAAAGAAAACACTGACTTGTGCTACCAAAAATGCTGATAAAAATGTGAAAACTGTATGTCAGACAATTTTATCTGCCCAGACTGAAATTATGAACCTTTATTTAACCAGGCAAATCCCATTGAGATCACAGATCACTTTTGCAAGGGAGGCCTGGGCCTGAAGGCAGCCTAACATGCATGTTTTTGGTCTGTGGGCGGAAACCGGAGTACCTGGAGAAAATCCACACAAGCACAAGCAGAACATACAATTTCCACACAGAAAGACCCCAGGTTCAACTGGGGATTGAACCTGGGACCTTCTTGCTGTGAGGCAACAGTGCTAAGCACTGAGCCGCCGTGCTGCCAAAACAATGCTTGTAAACATCAAGGCTCTTTATTGTCATTCGCATCACATGTGGTACATGAGGTGGAACGAAATTGTGTACTCAAGGTCCCAGTTACACCCACAAATAGCAAAAATACAATATAAAGTGATCAAAGTGATCATAAAATATAAACATGATCAAATCTATTAATGCTTTTGGAACAAACTGACTTAAAAAAACATTTTAATTCCAAGAACTTTCACCTACTGAAGTAAGACATTTAGGATGACAGCCCACTGGTCTTCCTGGATTTGTGGTGTGTACTTTTTGGCCAGTAGGTGGCAGTGGGATTGCTGAAGTAAAATCTCCCATGTTAGGACAATAAAAACAAACTGCTTTTACAAAGTTGTCCATATCTGCAACCATTGTGTGAAAAGGACACATTCATTTGTGTTCTTGGATCAGGAAAAGTAGGTTGAGTTTAGAACTGAATATAAGGATAAAATGTACAACAGGCCAATGTGCTATTAAAAAATAAACTCTTTATTAATACAGGTACTGCACCGTATAGTCTCAATGAGTCACAAGGACTCATTTTCAAGAGAGACCTGTTGGAGCAGATGGTGGGGGGGGCCTTGCCTTGCCAAGGTAAAGTTCTCGAGAGGGTCTCCACAATTATAAATACCTGGGCTTAACTATCGACAAGGAGCTTTCTTTTAAATTTCATGTGAAACACCTAATCTCCAAATTAAGGGTGAAGCTCAGGTTCTTCTTCAGAAACAAATCATGTTTCTCCCTTAGAGCTTGGAAGCTTTTGATCACAGCTAGTTTTTTGCCAGTACTTGACTATGGTGATGTTTATATGTGCGCTTCAATCGGTTGTCTACAGTCCTTGAATCCAGTGTACCATTGTCCATTAAAATTTATCACTGGTTGTATCTTACTCATCACTGTGATCTCTATCTTAAAACCAGTATCTTTCCTGTACAACAGGCGATATGTACATTGGATGACTTTGATGTACAAGTCTCTCTTACTGGCATGCTTCTTCTGCATTATTTATGTACGGTACTTTTATTCGAAGAATGGACAGCTGTTATGCCTTACGCTCTAAGGACTGCTTGCACCTTTAAGTTACTCGTGTGCAAACAGAAAAAGACAAGAAAGCTTTTAGCTTTCCTGACCCCTCAGCTTGGAATGCCTTGCAAGCTGAATTAAAACTGTCAGAACTTCTTACTTTAGGTGCTTTTTGCAAACGTAAAAAAAAACGACAAAGGATATTTTAACAATGCATGTGTTTTAGATCTTAATAATTTTAAATTATCATTACAATTGCCATTTACTGTTATATTGTATGTTTTTATACATTTCCAAGTCCTATTATGTATCTTGTTTGTTTTTGACATGTGCTGCTGCCTTTTCTTGCCCAGGTCACCCTTGTGAAAGACGGCTTGATCTCAATGGTTTTTTTCTAGTTAAATAAAGGTTTAATAATTTTTTTTTTAAAAAGGCCCAGAGTGGGGCAAATAAGAGCATTTTGCCATTTCCACCAACATTTTGACATCAGTCCAGCTGCCTGGTTTAGCTCTGAAAAGACCTGAATGGACAGTGCTTATAAAGCGTCTATTATCGAGATACTCAAAACGCTTTACACTACAATCTGTGCCTCATTTACCCATTCATACAGCGCTCTACTATACAATGCTAATTAAACAAATCATTCTAAAGGGACTAATTAGTGATTTATCACATTCATACAGCGATGGGACACACATCGGAGGCAACAAGGGGTTCAGTGTCTTGCCCAGGGACACTTCAGCATGTTACTGCTGGTAGATTTGAACCCCCCCAACTCTTGTGTTGGGGGACAACTGCTCTAACCACTCAGCCACAGCCGCCCCATGAACTCATGCAGCATCACAATCTTAACCTAAATGTAATTACATACTGCCATTTGACATTTCCAGACGAAGTTGTTTTGACAAAGTAAATTCCTGGACAGGAACTCCTCTGATGTTTTTCTAAACCGTAAACCATCATTGATCTTGAGTAGTTTAACATTTGAGAAGTTATTTGTTCACTTGAAGTCTCCAGAACTAGCATTTGTTAAACATGTGACACCATTTTGTTTCAAGAACACACTTGAGTCAGTGGAAATGCTGATACACTTTATTATATTTTCAGGAGCTCCAAATTGAAACCAACAGAACTCGTTAATTTCCCGGTACAGCAAATCCCAGCATGTGGCGATTCTTAAATCAGTAGATTGCATAAAAGCCCTAGATTATACAATTTGAAACTTGGTGTGGACAACACTCAAATCCCTGATTCACATCCACAAAGATCTTTAGTTTGAACACTTCATTTCCAACTCTCCTGGTGTCCACAAGGTGGCGCTCACTTCTAAGAATACTAAAGGAATCCCAGGTGAGAATAACTTTGCTACAACCTGAACTTTACATTTGTGTCCTTTTCAGGCCCCTGTACAATATTAACATATGGCACACATATTGTTCAGTCAACATTCAACACATAATGATTCAATATCTCTGCGTTTGGCCTCTGCTGTACAAACGTTTCATACTTGGCTAAAGAAAATTGACGTTTCTCCTTACAGGAGGCAACATGTTTGGCTGACTTACTATTTTGGCAACATTTAGTTAAACAAACGTAAAGGCAGCACTAAGTATCCCAAGAATGAATCACGTTAACTGAAAAAAATAAAAATAAAAATAAAAATGTGCTTCTCATTTTTCTTTAACTTACTAAATACGAACAGAAAATTTACAGATTTTGGCGCCATAAAAACAGAACTGGTGTAGAAATGGGACCAGTTTCTCTTCACCCAAATCGTGTGCTGCACTGTTCAGATGTTTGTCTTTTCAGCAGAAAGTGATGTCTGCTTTTGAGTTTGAGGCTAAAAACCTGGACGTGAAAGAAATTTCAAGGAAAGATAATGAAGAAAGTCAAAATATAGTATAAAAATAAATATAAAGTTCCCTTTGTGAACCAATAACTAGTAGAACATAATTACTTTCACAATGATTTCACATAGCTGGACAGCATAAAAAATGGCAAATATTCAAACGTACAACAAAAGTGCCTTTAGCACAAGTTTAGCAGACAAGCAACATACATGCATTTCAGTTTTGAATGGTAAATATGATCAAGTTGCAGAAGAGATATATTGTACAGTAATAGAACACAAACAAGTAGATACTTTGTTCATTAAAAAAATATATTGGCTTTTCGTGGCTTTAGCCCTTTTTGAGTTTTAAGGAGCTAGATTATTCGATATAGATCTGAAATGCATGTAGTTGTACACTCAGTAAGCATGCACAGAGAAACAGTGCTTGTATACAGCCACACTACTGTCAGTATAAGAGTACTGAGGCTAAAACCTGCCCTCCCTCCCTCCCAATAAGCAGAAAAAGACAGTTAATGTTCATGAATCGTCAAAAAGCTCCGGGTCTTCAGCACTAACATTTATCAAAGCCAGAACTGCCAGCACCAAGATAAAAGCTGGATTTTTTTTTTTTAAGTTATTTTTCATTGTTTATGTAAACTACAGTAAAAGAAATGAATCCCTTCAGAGTCTGAGGCTGTGTGGCACATGGAGGGGCTGCTTGTTGCCCTTTTGATGGCACGATCCACAGATGGGCCAGACATCAGCACGTGATGACCACAGCAGGATAAAGAGCCAGTTCCTCTACTCCCAACAGCTTGGATGAAATCATGGGAGCTGGTTGTGCAGCACTGGTCCTTTGGCTAGTACTAATGTCATCTCAATAAAAAACAAACATGTTTCAAATGGAAAAAAAAAAAAGGAGTGTTGTTCCAGCACTCAGAGCCACTTCCAGGATCAGAAAATAAAAATCCTAAAGCTCTTCAGATTGTCTCTAAGATTTTGATCAAAATAAAATGACTGGTCAAAAAGCAAGATGATAAAAAAATACAGTAAAAATGCAAAGAAAAATAAAAAGCATAAAGGACTAACAGCATGTCTACAGTTGGTTTGGGGCCCAAGTCATCGCTTTTGATAGGCACCTGGAACAGATGAACAGGAGGAGAGATGTGTTAGTTCATTTCATCAGATTTACTCTTCTCTCCTTTCAGACACACTTGTTTCTGGTGATTTTTTCCCCCCCAACATATTCTCTTTTATAAAAGGGAAACAAACACTGTGCTTCAGTAAAGCATCACTTCTTTCATGCCGTGGTCTGTTGTCAGAAAATTTCCTTCTAATGGAAACACCATAATACTTTTATTTCATACATAACATTTCATTTAGAACAACACATGTTTCCCCCTTAGTAAACTATGATAAGTCATGTTTAGGTTTAAAACAAAAGTGTTTCAAACCCTAAATGAATAATTCTCTACCTCTGTAAGCAACATCAGGTCTTGTGGTGGGACGAGAGGGAGCAGGGTGGCCTGCGTAGCCATAGCCAGGGGTCACATTCTCATAGTCGTGTGTACGAGGCTGAGGTGGTCTGAGACAAACAGAAAACATTCATTCCTGCTTTTTTCACATTTCTTTGGTCTTAAATGGTAAATGGACTGTACTTGTATAGAACCTTTCTGTCTAATCAAGAAACTCAAAGTGCTTTACAACAATATGTGTCCTGATTTACCTCCACACACACACACATCCATACAGCACTCTACTACATCTCTACAAAGATAATCTGAACAAATCATTCTAATCAGTGCTTTAGATCACATCCATACACCGATGGGACATGCATCAAGTCAGGCAATGAGGGGTTCAGCGTCTTGCCCAGGGACACTAACATGGGACTGCTGGTGGAATCAAACCCCCAACTCTCCCATTAGAGGATTCATTCATTCAACCTTGATTTATACAGGTTAATCCCATTGAGCCTCGGGAGGATGACTGCTCTAACCACATAGTCTGGCTTAATACCTGGCAGGTTTGTGGTTGTCTCGGTGCCTCTGATGATCATACTCGTCTCGGTGCCTCTGATGATCATACTCGTCTCGTGTTCTGGGACGCACAACTTCCTCTGAATTGTGCTGTTAAAAAAAAAAAAACAACAACAACAAAAAAGAAGATTTAAAAGGGGAAGAAAAAAAAAAAAAGACTTTTACAAAACAACAGTAAAAACAAATCACTGAAGAGCACGTTTTAAAAATAGGTGTGGTCAAGGAAAAGTCACCCTGTAGTTTCCCTCATGCCGCCTTTTCTCCATCGCCATCTTCTCCGAGCCCAGCCTCTCTCGCTCCTTCTCCCGTTCTCGGTTCCTTCTGTACTCCTTCTTCTCGTTTTCTGCCAGGCGTCGAGCCAGTTCCTGCCATAAGAAAACTGGATCATGTGCACAGGCATAGAAAAACCACATCTGTGTCCAAGAAGATTTTACACACATTAAACGGCACAAATCCTACTTAAAACGAGATGGTGCTCAGCATGGAGCTTATCTAGGAAAGCACTAATGCATACAAAAAACCCAAAAAACAAATAAAAAGTAAGTTATTTATCATTGCATAATCCTTTGTTTGGTCATGGTCTTAAACTCACTTATATGTACATAAAGTCAGCTGAACAGAGAATATAAAATTTAAAAAGACAACAAAAACGTAAGACTTGCCTCATCCTTTGCCACTTGGGCTGCACGCACATGCACATTACTTGCCTGAAACAAATTAATCATATCGTTTATTAAATTGTTGTCAAATATTAGCTGAAGACAAAAGTGTCAAAATTTAAACATTTGGAAAAATCAAGAGAAAGAGTTGTTTATCTGATGTGTCCGACTATACTCAACCCTGTTTTATATAAAACTTATGAGCTAAGACTAAATGCTTCTATAGTCTTCCTCACTTTCATCTCCTCCTCTTGGAGTTTTCTTGCGACCTCCATGTCCTTCAGCTCCTGCTTGCGAATATTAAGATTCGTCAGCCCCTGGGTGGCCTCACTCAGTCCGTAGTCCACTTCTGTTACGACCGCTCCACTTCCTTTGTGCACAATACGACCTGCAGGCACATTTAAATTGAGCAACCAAACGGGAAAGCAGTTATGATTTTAATTTAATGAGTTAAATTATGAAATAATTAATCTGGAAATAAAATCTAAATTACTGCCAACATGTCTTTAACCATATGTTCTATTTTATCAACAGTTAGGTGATTTACTTGATGTACAAGTTTATTCGGTTTAATGTTTTATGCATTAGTTGGTTGGGTAATAACATTGTTTACATGAAAATGGCACATTCACGTGTGGTTTTATTAAAGTCGTAAGGCATCTAAAGGGCTGCAGTGCATCTCCACTGGTGTTCACCATTTTGTTTTCTACACAGATTGAGGCAATTTTGAGATAATACAATTAAAAGCGAGACTTCAAGCAGCAGCAAAATAATTACATGGAGTTTTGTTAAGAATATACAATCAGCTGAGAAGCCCTGAAACCCTTTGTTAATGCCGAATCACATCAATTCATTTGGATTCACAGCTTATTCTACAGGAAACCCACATCATGCACCGGCCTCAACACGGTCGTTGTTCTCGACGCTGCAACTCGGCAAACATCGCAAGAAAGAGGAAACCCCCGCAGCACAAGAGCCCCGAGATTTTTCAAACCATCAGGAACGTTTTCATTCTGATTTAAAACCCACCACCTGCAGAAAGCAGCAAACCACATAAACGCCCCTACAGAGCCGAGAGGAGGGGCTCGGGGTGGTACCTGTCTCCTTGTTGGTGTAAGTATGACTGCCGCCCCCCTGCTGGGGGTCCCACGTCTCCCTGCCGCCTCCTCGTTCTTTATCATTCACGTACCCGTCAAGCACTTCGACAGGGTTGGAGTGGACACGCTGCCGGCTCCTGGCCCTCCTCTCGCCAACCACCTCCTCCTCCCTGGTCTCTCTCAGCCGTTCCTTCCTACGTCCTTGATCCAAAAAGTCCTCTTCGAGTGCCCGGTCACTGCTTCTGCCTCGACTCCTGTCTTTGGCTTTCTGTCCCTGTCTGTCCCCACTAGCTACTCGATCTCTGGATTTTTCCCTGCCTTTCATCGGTCTGAGGTCCTGCTCCACATCTCTCCTGTAATCTTTTTCAACACGTTTGTCTCTTCCCCTGTCAGGTCTTTGTCTCTCTCTGCTCCAGTCTTCATCTCTCTCTACAGGAAACTTTGGTGACGGTGGTCTGGCTGGTTTCTCCTTCTTCCTCACCGCTCTATCAGCATCTCTCCCTCCTTCTTCTCTGGCTCTTCCAGTATGAGCATGTTCAAACTCTAGACACCCGTCTTCATGCTTGCCTCTGGAGGGCAGTAGGTGTTCTGGATATGGATCTGCACATCTGCTTCGCCCCCCTTCTGTCCCCAAGTAGTACTCTGGATATTTGGAATGGTTACGAGGGGCCACAGAGTCCTGTTTCGGGTACCCGCTCTTTTTGGGATCTACTGAATAATAATCTGGAGCGTGATTCTGTTGCGAGCGCTCCAACGAGTACGAGTCGTGTCGGCCAGGAGACCGTGATTTCTGATGAGTGTGTTTGTCCACATCAAGGGGTTGCGCAGCTGATCAGGATGGAGGGGAGGAAATTATGAGAAGAGGAAAATGTTAAAAATGGATAAATAAATAAAAACAGACAGGATTATATAAACCAAGACAGTTAGTAAGAACTAACAGCACCTGTGAAGAGAGAAGCGGATGAAGCTCAAAGGATAAGTATCAATATGAAAATGTAAAACGCACCCAAATGTCAAGAAAGGTGGGTCTCTCTGTAAAAATGACAACAAAGTTAAGACAAAGGAGACAAGTGTGTACTCAATAAAAACAGCAGTATTAGTGTTAGAAAATGAAAGATCTTGAATTCCTTTAATGTATTACTGAGTATAACCCATGTACACTTTCTGCACGAACACTCAGGAGAAGAAGAGTACGACGGACAAAGTAAACCTGAAACGGAACAACACCTTCATTAAACCGGTCTGCTGAGAGAGGGCATGCAACAGACAAAACAAATGAGTGGAAATGCACGTTGGAGAAGCACAGTCATTGCTGCGCAGAGTCACTGGAGAAGAATTCATGTTAACACAGTGTTTAAAAACCGATAGCCTGTTGCTCAGAGTAAAAAAAAAAAGAGGCTCACAATACCAGGGCTAGTTTGTTTTCATCTTCCCTTTTAAGAAACATTTACCCCTTTAATGTGTCTGTTGTTGTGGTAAAAAGCAGTGAGGAGGAAAACCTAACTTGGAAAAGTTTGTAAACGTAGTATCTAACGAAAGTGAAACATTTCAGCCTCTTCAAACATCCAGAGACGCAGCGACAGGCGCACACTTTGAGAAAGTAGTCACAACTCATCAACACAAAACAACAGCGCCACCCACGGTCAGTCGAGCTGAAACTGGAGAGCTGTTTGGGGTTATCTCATGACCCCAAGCTTTAGTTTTTAAAGAAACATCCTCAGATTTTGTTTTACATCGACACATAAGTTCTGCTACCATGCTGGTCTGTGTGACCAATGTGAGTGTAATGTGTATTATTTGCACTCATCATGATCAATAACTTCCTGAACCGGACAAGTTAGTTTTATAGAATACCCTCCAGCCCAGGCCTCAGCTTTTCCCCTCCATGTCCGAGCCGTCATCGAAAGGTCCGCCGCAGACAGGAAGGAGTGGATCTGAGTCGAGGGCTCTGCTTGAAGACATGTCACCATATCGTATCAACTCTTATCGTAACAATATCATCTCAATCAGCCCTTGAGAGATCAAAACAACCAGTGCTTTCTGTTCTTCACTAATGCCACAGTAAGAGTGATTACATGAAACTAATATCACACATCACAAACATGAGCAGGACATTGCAGAACGTTCCTACAGGAAAGTTAGAGCAGTTCAGGCTTTCACATGGATGAGAGCACTGATAACAGTGTAATCTTGTAATTGCATGTTCAGTGAATGCTGGACTGCTCTCCAAAGCTTTGTAAATAAATCTGATGAACTACACCTTGGCCTGTTTGGGAATCTCCTTTTTTTCCACGACACCAGCATTAGACTAATGCATGTCTCAAAGACATAAAAACCTGGATGACCCTTAATTTTCTACTTTTAAACTCAGACAAGACTGAGGTTTTGGTTTTTGGACCCGAACATCTTAGGAATAAATTTTCAGTCTTTCTCCCTCCTTAGATGGCAATAATCTGTCCTCCAGCTCTAATGATAACAATCTTGGTGTTATTTTTGATCAGGACATGTCTTTTAACCCCCACATTAAAAACGTTACTAGAACGGTCTTCTTCCACCTGCGTAATATCACTAAAATTAGAAACATCTTATCGAAAACTGATGCAGAAAAACTGGTTCATGCATTTGTCACGTCTAGATTGGACTATTGCAATGGTTTGTTAACTGGGTGTCCAAATACTTCTTTAAAAAGTTTTCAGTTGATCCAAAATGCTGCTGCCAGAGTCTTAACTGGAGTTAGTGGGAGAGATCATATAAGATAATAAGATATCTCTGCAGTTTTAGCTTCTCTCCACTGGCTCCCTGTCAAATTCAGAATTGAATTCAAACTCTTACTTCTAACCTACAAAGCTCTCAACAACCTAGCTCCATCTTATATTAGAGATCTTATTGTTCTAAATTTTCTTAACAGAGCACTTTGCTCTCAGACCTGCAGGCTTACTCGCGGTTCCTAGTTTCCAAAAGCAGAATGGGAGGCAGATCTCCCATTATCAGGCGCCTCACTTGTGAAACCAACTTCCAGTTTGTGTCTGTAGAGCGGACACATTGTCCAGTTTTAAGACTGGGATTAAGACTTTCCTTTTTGATAAATCCTATAAATAGGGTTGAATTGTTATGTTGCTATAGGATTAGACTACTGGAGGACAAATTGGCCACATTTCCTAAAACGAACTGTTACAATTTAATAGTTTTCATTTTATACCATTCCTATCTCAGTGTGTGATTATTGACCTGCCATTGTGTATCTGTTCCTCTCAAACCCAGCCAATTGAAGCAGAGGACCGCTTGACCCGAGTCTGGTTCTGCTAAAGGTTTCTTTCTCATGAGGGAGTTTTCCTTTCCACTGTCGCCTTCATGTTTGCTCAAGATGAGAGTTCTGTGATGAAGTTAAATTCAAAGTGGTCTGCTCCTCAGATAAATAATGTTAACTTTCGTTTAAATATATGAACGTTTCTGTTCAGTGCCCTGAGAACTTCTGCTGTGACTTGGCGCTATATAGAAATAAACTGAACTGAATTGTGACTGATCCACTGGATTAAAATGAACAGTCAGGAATCTCACATTTCCTTTCAGGGAACCTTATAAGAAAACATGATTTCCCTGACTTTTTTTTTTTTTGTATACGTTTATGTGCAAATGTAAAACACCGAAAAGAAATCAGAAGAATGGAGATCTAAAACAATTCAGAACTCAACTGGAAAACCCCTTTTTACAGCAACAACTCAACACATAGTAGTAAAGTTGCAACATTCGCAGCATCTTTCCTACAAAATACAAAGTGCAATGTAAACAAAAGCCAATTCTACCACAGGCAGCGTGCGCACACAAACTGTGCAGAGAGATTTCTCAAGTTGAAACTGATAGGGCTGTAAAGCAGACACATCTGGGACTGCCAGTGACCCAAATATTGAAGTGAATGCACTAAAAAGAGGCTTAATTCTGAACACCTGATACATAAAGCTGAAGCAACAAGGTGGAGTCAGTCTTTACACAGGTCAGAAAGACTGTTGGTGTCAAAAAAGATAAAAACGGGGCAAGTGTGTGCAGCTGTCAAAGAGGCCAGCGTGTCTGTTTACATGCGTGTCTAGACACACCAGACAACATCCTTGAAACCGCTAAATAAAACAATATTCACTTCCTGTGTCATTGGCGTTAAAAAGTTACAATTATCTGGGGTGAATATCACTTAGTTAAAAAAAAAAAAAAAAAACATACAAAGGTTACGCTCATTTTAAATCTGTGCAAACTAGAGGTTTTTACTTCCTGCTCACTATCCAAAAGTGAAAAATGAGAAAATAAATCTGAGAAATAAATCTAAAAACAATTTAAACGATTTAGTCATGAAAACTAGGAGCCAGTCTGCCACTTTAAATTCAGCAGAATGAGACGGCTGCAGAATATTTAAAAAGAAAGTCCTCTCCCACTCGAAGTCACACCCATGACTTCAAGAACAAACTCGTGCTCAGACCTAGACGCTGCACGTTCAAACGTCTGCTACACTTCACTCTGTTAAACCCATCTCCACCAGTTGCTTCTCTGAATGAAGGAGAATAAAGACTCAATTATTTTCAGCAGGACTACAAGAGACTTTCTTTAGGGGCTAACAATGTGCTTTTAAATGCATTCTCAAATCTCTGCCCCGAGTCAGCAACAATCTCCAACTCTGGAAAATCAAAAAGCACACCCTCACAAAAAACACAATCGTTTCAAGGAAACATTCACTCGTGTCTTTCTGCATCAGGTTATATGGGGGGAAAATAAATATTTGAGGAGTTTTATAGCCACTTAAAAAAGGACGAGATAAAATCATCTCCTAACCTCCGTGATCTTCATAATAATCTTCATGAAAGTTGGCCTCCATTTGTTTTTGTTTCCTCCTCTCTTCTCTTATCTTCTCCTTTTCCTGCAGCTGTCGAGCGATGAACTACAAAACAAAGAAACAAGTCCACAGTAAACATAAACATGGCTATTCTTGGACAAAATTGCAGTTTTGATTCATGACAGTGAGGCCTAAAGTTCCTTTTTCAGGCCAAGCGGAATAATTTCCCACCAATACAACACACTCCAAGTTTTGAAACACTGAACAGACAATAATAGGGTCATATTTGACAGCTCTTTATTCATGTGAGGGAAACTCAAACTTTTAAGAGAACCATTTTTTAATTGGTATTTGCTATTTACGTTGACCGTTACCAGCATTGTAATCATGACTATAAAAAACAAGAGTTGTGCTAACTGAGTGAGGATTCAGCAGGAATGAGGAGTTAGCCTGCTGACGTCAACAGGCAGAAATGTGACTTGAGTGTTTCTTACCGCGTCCTCCTCCTCCTGCAGCCGCTGCCGCTGTTCTTGTCGAGCCAGTTCTTCCTGAATCTCCTGAGCGATCTCATTGTCCTGCCGCTCGCTGGTATTCCAACAGATTTGTGTTATAAACGAGGAGACAATAAAACAAGACCAGAGAAGTCAGGATACAGACATAATTGTTATGCTCATTTCAAGTCCTTCTAGTGTGGATAAAAGAAAATGTTTGATGTAAAAGTTTTTAATAAACGTTCTTATTTCCTTCATTGTTAAACAAATATTACTTTTTCCAAACATTTCAAATTGATGCCTCAATTTTTCCTTTATCGTCTCATGAACTCATCGTCTCCCTATATATATATATATATATATATATATATATATATATATATATATATATATAGGGATTAAACATCAATCAATATGTTAGTCTAAAAAAAATCAGAAATATTGACCTCACCAGGTCACATTAAAATAATAAAAAAGTCAAAAGGAAGAATGACTCAGTTTGTCCTTTAAGACAGGCATCACTACACTTAATGCATATTTTCTGTTTTCACTAATGCTGCTAAATGTACGTTTGTACTTCCTTC